CAACATTTTCACTGTATCCAAATCTTTCTCCTACCAAATACTGAATCTTATAAAGAAAAAAAAAAACATTATATTCAGTGAATCCTATTTTTTGCTTTCTATTCCATTACCTGTGTTAATTCCAAGCTCAATAATGCTGTGTAAATAAATTAAATCAACATTTTTTAAGTATTCCATATACTTTATCACCTATGTAAGTATATCACCTGCAAGTCAACAACTCTTTTCGCTCTCTCTTCTGTATACAAAAGAAGAAAGCATTGATGGTTGACAAGCAAAATGGTAAACTCTTTAGAAATGTTGTTTCTGATACATTACAGTAATAGGAAAACTTCCTCTGAGAGATCTTTATAAATTTTTTTATTCATTCTCAGTTTCTTCATCTAAAAGCCAAAATTACTGCTCCAATTCTTCATCTATTTATCCATCGATGCCACATCTGATAATTATTTATTGATTTTATCATAAACTGATTCTTTCTGCTAGGAATTTGTTATAGTTTTGTTTTGTTTTTTTTTGTTTTTTCCTGGCAAGCCTACTCTGCTTGTCAATGATTACACACTGCTTTATTAGCAAGAGAATTCCTTCTTTTTTTTACGACAAAATAGACTTAGAGATTTTATTCCATTAATTCATTATATGAGGGGTGCTGAAAAGTTCTCAGCTTGACCCCCTTACTTAACACTGTCCAAATCAACAAACTAATTTTTTTTTAAAATTCTCTCTTCCTCAGACTGAGACCTATTCTGAACTCCCTTTTTTAGAGAGTTTGGTAAGCATAGTTTAATTGTGGCACAAGGCTGAAAGCATAGAGCACCAAGTGAAGATTGAACTCAGTTGTAACTGATCTTGCAAGACAAGCTTGCTAACCATAACACCAAGTCAAAGTGCCTTAGTACCCACTTGCTTAGTGTTGTTAAAATGTTGCTTAGAATAAAGAACAATGAAATAATAAATGTATGAAAAATATATATGTCTCTTTCTTGCTTCCTGATTGGTGCATTTAAAAGAAAATTATTGATTCTTTTTATACTGTGTCATAAAGCTTACCTATCTTGATATGAGTTTTTAACAAAGAATACTACATGGAAGAATATTATATTTCATTTAAAACAGACATTAGAATTGAGACATATATATATATATATATATATATATATATATATATATTTGTGTATTTAAGCAGCAAATTCTCTTTTAGGCATGTCTGATTAAATAAATTACAAACATTATGTCTGCTTTTTTTTAGTATAATCTATTCATATTCACGCATATTTTTCTGTGTATTACAATCAAATTATGCAAGAAATGCACTGTAACAGTGAAACTCACTTTCATTTCCAAGGTACTTTCTATCTCGTATACTTTGGAAATGAAAGTGATTTTCATTGTTACAGGGCATTTCTTGCATCATTTGATTGTAATACACAGAAAAATATCCATGAATATGAATGGATTATGCTAAAAATAAGCAGACATAATATTTGTAATTTATTTAATCGGATATATATATATATATATATATATATATATATATATATATATATATATATATATATATATATTGTTGCTCCTTTATGGTTTATAATTGTTTTTATATTCATTTTCCCCCCAATGGAAATACTTGTACCATATACACTTTAAGCATGCATCATTTTTTGCATTTTTTTTCAATATCACCCTACCTACATTCTACATTTTGAATTTACACCCCAGTAATATATTAAATTTATATTAACTTTGAGCTTTGAATCTGTATATAATTTAGCATTCCTCCCATTGGACCCAGTATTTATTAAAAACAACTGTATTAAGTGATTCATTCACCCTTTGTTCCTGATGACTTGGAAAACCATGAAACCTTAAGTTGCACTACAAACATAGGTATATATATATATATATATATATATATATATATATATATATATATGTGTGTACAGAGTGTGATGTGTAAATAGTTGCCATTTTATATTTTTAATTTTGTGCATGCACATTGTTATCTTGATTTTGTCGATTGCACATTATAGTAGGGTCAGTTGGGCACCGTCTGTAAGAAAAAAACCACCATAATTCACTCCACCAGGAATTTGGAAACAGCATGGTGTACTTCTTGGCATTCATGCCAGAAGCTTCAATACAAACATTTCAGAGTGGTTGGGTGTCAACCTGAGTAAAGTGCAGAGCATTTGGAAAGAGTTGGATGAGTCTAATGGTGATTATGAAGGTATGGCAGCTCAGAAGACTCATTCTAATCATTCTGATAAGAAAGAAACTCCCAAATTTGTTTGTAAGATCCAGGCCATCATTGAAAATGATCCCTCCCAGTCAATCAGGTCTATAAGCAGGGAGCTAGTGCTTCCCTGGAACAAGAGAGTGGCTGCTGGAAGATCTTATGTCTAGCAACAGGACTCTGCACCATGCCACACAAGCAGGAGAATCTAGTCATGGCAGTCAGACAATTTCTGTGACCACATCACCCCTTACATCTGGCCACGTAACTCCCCAGACTGCAGACCCTTGATTATTGTGTGGGGCACAGTTGAGTGAGACAAAACTCCTTGTAAGACAAAAAGCAAAACTCCTTGTGAGACAAAAAGCAAAACTCCTTGTGAGACAAAAAGCAAAATTCCTTGTAAGACAAAAGATGAAAGCAAGGATTATGGCAGCATTCATCAACTTAATGAAGGAGACCATCCAGAAAAGTTGCAGGAAATTCTGAAGTTGTCTGGAGTTTGTGGTTGAAGTATTTTAAGATATTTTTGTGTAATTTTGGTAATTATGTTAAAATGAGTTGTCAGTGTTATTTTCATTTTTGTGTAATTTAGATGACAATTTATCCATTGCAACATATATATATATATATATATATATATATATATATATATATATATATATATATGGGATAACGATATATAAATTTATATATATCAAGAACAGTTTTGAAGGAAAGGTGTATGACAAAATGGAAAAAGTTTTTGTGTGATGTGTTTTGTCCATTAAGACTTCATTGGTTTGTTTACTGTGATGTGACTACACATGCACATAAAACAAGAGATGCTGGGAATTTTAAATTTAGAAAAAAATGTGCTTTGAGTAGATAATCTAGCCAATTTCATTTTGATTCTTTTTCTTTTTGTTTCCATCATCCTTGTTATTAAATATCCTACATTGCCAAGAATGGTGAAATATACTGGAAGAACCTGGATGCAGATTTACTGTGGATGAAGTAGCAATTAAAGCACTTCCTAAACATATTCCTCATAGTGAATTAATCTCTCTTTTAATTAGAGTATCATTTTTTATATCAAAATTGTGGTCAGTCTCTTTATGGTGAGTGACTAATTCATTTAATGTGTTGCTTTTTAAAACGTATCTTTTGTGTTCATATAATCTTTCATTTAAACTTCTTGAAGTTTCTCCAATATATTCTTTCTAGTAATGTTTGCAGGTACTAGATTATATATGTATAACTTTGAAAATTTTTTGCCTTGACATGTTTCACCAATGATCTAGCTTCTAGTGATATATGTGAATATTTCCTCTTACTAATGTAAATTTGGTTCCATTGAAATACAATTCTTTTTTTTGATAATTCCAGATCACTGGTTAAATATATCAAGGTAAAAACTGTTTTATAGATTTCCTATTCTGTTGCAATCTCATTCAAATTTAGTTGAACCCACAGATATATACACACACGTAATGTCATTCAGTTTTGCAGTGATTTCAGTCCTTGTTACGGTTCCTATGTTAGTGACATTTTCAAATGCTCAGCAAAGTTTTGTATATTTCTAAAAATTAACTTATGATGCCAGAAAAATATTAATTTCTTGCAATCACTTGAGAATGTGGCTGTTATCTTCTTTCAGAACTGATTTCTGGTGAGACAACTCAATTTTAAAAGGATCTATTAGCTATGCAACACAGGTGTTTCATCAAAGTGAAATTTACCGAATTTAAAACAGCGGACACGCCTCATATGGATGACCACTGGGGATGAATTGCAATCAATATGTTTACAGCTTACCACTGGAGAAATGGTACAGCATTTTAACTGTACTCATTCTCATATATAACTGCAGAAATCAGGTGTGGTATTTATACAAGCAAAATGATACACGGCTGGATATCATTATCAAAAAAAAAATATCTGACCACGTGGCAGCAATATTCTAAGCATGGACAAATGATAGACTTATAGATATGTAAGATAGCGTCTGGAGAGAAAAACAGTCTTTTGTACATTGCAGTGAACCAACCTTCCTGGAAGCTGATTGAACAATGGTTTCAATATAGTCTTTCAACTTCATGTCAGCTGAGTTGTTTTTATGTGAATGTAAGGGGATATATATATATATATATATATATATATATATATATATATATATATAAAGGTGGACAGTCAACACCCAGAGGTGACAGCCTTTTTCATGCTTAAATGCAATCAGGCTACATGCAAAGGACATGATCACCTGAAGGATCACTGCACTTCAGAGGAGAATTGTATCCAAAACATACTAATAGAAAATACAAGTATACTAGCCTCATCCACATGTGAAAAAAAAGATTAAAAATAATGGAAGCTCTATTAATAGAAACAGAAAAGCCAACACTCAATAACATTAACTACGAACACAGTGACAATGGAAAATAAAACATTCCTATAACTTCAGACATATACATAAAAACCCACACATTTAATAATGATAATGGCTAAAAGAACAGCTGAAAGTGCTCGGATATGTAGAACTTTTGGATAGTTTTTACACATTTCATGTGCCAAAAGGAGAACACTTACACAAACTACAAGAAAAATTAAATAAAAAGCTTAATTGCAGGATTAAAGCCTGAAATACTTTTAGATTGTAAGAATTTCTTGGAGATAATAATGGTGTTTTTTTTTTTACTGATATGAGTTATACTAATTAACCCATAGCTAATGGGAGAAGAGGTGGCTTCATACCTCTCCAAAGAGTATTTGCACATACTTGACAGCCAAGCTTACAGCACTTGGTATTTCCAAGTGATTCACCCATCAAGGTACTTACCAGACTCAATGTTGCTTAACTTTGAGGATCGTACAGGAGCTGGTGTTTCAAAGTGATATGATCACAAGACACCTGCATCTCAATAAGGTCAGGTTTTGATGTTGATAAGAAATGCAAAATATTGTTTACAAGGAACTGTTCAATTCCAACAACATTATAAGACAGACAGCTGCAAAGTCTGGCTGATGGAATTACCAAAAATTACCCAATCACACATGATCTAGCAATACAATTTTCCTTCTCAAGTACTGTGTCCCTTCAGGTGATCATGGTGATCCACTACTTCCTATCCTTTGTAGTTCTCAGCAATGCTTGTCTTTTTTACTATCCCTCCCATTCTCTTTTCTGCCATCCATTTACACAAGATTCTTAGATAAGTTGATCATGGCTCTCCACTACTTCCTCTCCTTTGTAGCTTATAGCAATGTCTGTCTTTTTTCTATCCCTTATACTCCATGTTCTGCCATCCATTAACACAAGATTGCTAAGTAGGTTGATCATGGCTCTCCTTTACTTCCTATCCTTTGTAGCTCTTAGCAATATTTGTCTTTTTACTCTCCTTTCTACTCCCTGTTCTGCCATCCATTTACACAAGATTTTTAAGTAGTTTAAATGTTTTCCTCTAATCCTCTTACTTTCAATATGCACTGTGAGTGTCATATTCTTCAAGCCCTCTTTCCTCAGTATGTTTCTTTTTCACATTGTAAGTATGTGTCCTTTTTGTCTCCATTTTGTTCCCTTGAGTCTCTTCTTCATCATGAGGAGATTGTGCAGCATTCACTGTCATATAGGAGGACTGATAACAGTTCAGTACTCTTTTCTTTGTTTCTATTGTTTCAGATCTGTTCATATAGGAAGATTGATATTACATAACAGTTAAGCACTCTTTGTATTCTCAGCATCCTTCTATAGAACCACATCTCTGCAGCCTCAAGTCTCCACTTCTTCTGTGAGGAGACTGTCCAGCATTCACTGCCATATATAAGGACAGATAACACATAACAGTTCCATACTCATTTCTTTGTTTCTGTTGCTTCAAGTCTTTTCTTCATCAGTGAGGAGATTATCCAGCATTTACTGTCATATAGGAGGACTGATATTACATAACAGATGAACTCTTTTGTTTTTTTCTAGTGAAATTTTCCTATTTCTTAGTACTTTGCTTAGCTTATGGAAGGCATCTTTTGCTATTCAGATATTCCTTTGACCCTACAATTACTTAGCTCTAAAAAAAGGAGGAAAATCAGGCCACAAGTATTTGGATGTGGCAGTCATTCACCTGGGGAAGCTCTTCATTTGCTTTCGAACAATGATCTCTGGTACCAGTGGGAGATTTTGTGAATAAGTGAGTCAATATTCCTGGCTTACTCTTTGACAAGCAGTGATGATAACTATTCTGTTGAATGAATGTATTGTGTTTCCTATTCAAGAAATAATATTTTTAGCTGTCAAAATATTCAGAAACTTCCTTTACAAACCTAGTATGTGTGGAATGGAAAATGTTTATTCCTTTGTAGATGGGAGGTGATTATTATTTTCATATTTGTCTATGTTTCATTACTGTACTTAAACATACATATATATATATATATATATATATATATATGGCCCTGATCTGGCATCTCATCTACAGTTGCTCTCTCACAAGTGTGCTGTCACCTCCCTCTGTCTTTTCTACAAATACTTTCATGGTAACTGCTCTGAAGATCTACTTTTGCTAGTTCCCAGACTGCATGAATTCAAATGTGCTACTAGGCTGGCATCTTGGTTCCCACACTTTCACTATCGAAACAGTTAAATGTAGCCGTCTCTTCTACTCCAATAGCTTCATGTCTCGCACTTCTTGCCTGTGGAACTCCCTTCCGATTTCTTGTTTTCCTGATAGCTATAATCTCCAACTATTCAAATGTAATGTCAATCAACATCTCCAGATTTCCTGTCCTTCTCTTCATCTTTTCCTCCATCATGCCTCTTTACACTCGCTCTAAATCTCTGTAACCCCTTGTGTGCTAGTGGCATCTCACCTTCCTTGGGGTGAAATGCTTAAAATATATATATATACTAACACACACACACACGTACATACATGCATGCATGCATATATATAAATATACCTATATTTACCCATTCGGTTATATATATATATATATATATATATGCATACATACACACATGTGTATATACAGAGTATGATGAGTGAATTGTTGCCATTGTATATTTTTAATTTTGCACATGTCTGTTGTTTGTTTTTGATTTTCTTGGCTGCCCAGTATAGTAAGGGGTTGTTGGGCACTGTCTGTGATAAAATGATCACTATGATGTAATTCACTCCGCCAGAAATTTTAAAACAGCATGCTGTACATTCCTGCCCGAAGTTCCAATATGAACATTTTAGAGTGGTTGGATGTCAATGTGAGGACAGTTCAGAGGATTTGAAAAGAGTTGGATCAGTCTAATGGTGATTACAAAGGGGTTTGGAGTGATCACTAGTGATGGTGATATTATGCTTCCATTGATCTTTCAACAATTCTTCAGAATCAACATGGAGGCCTACATCAAATACCTTGAAGAGGTAGTGCTGCCCTGGGTCAAGAGAGTGGTTGTTGGAAGACCCTATGTTTGGAAACAGGACTCTGCACCATGCCACAAAAGCAGGAGAATCCTGTCATAGCTGTCAGACAATTTCTTCAACCACATCACCCCCTTACATCTGGCCACCTAACTTCCCAGACTGCAACTCCTTTGATTGTTGTATGGGGCACAGTTGAGTGAGAGGACAACAATGTTCCTTGTAACATCAACGATGAACTGAAATCAAGGATTATTATTCAGATGTATGTGCCCATTTACAAGATAATGACATGACACCCTCTGAAAATCTTGTTGTGAGACCCAATAAAAATAAAATATATAAACAAAAATAAATAGAATTCAAATTAAAATAAGACATTTGCTCTTTCCTTTAAAACCCTTATCTCTTTCTCTCTCTCTCTCTGAACTTCTTTTCCTATACTTCTCTTATCTAACAAGAAGGCAATCCTCAAATAAAATAAAAAGAGGAGGAAGAAAAAGAAAAGACTGAACCTGGCCAAAAAATGCCAGAAGTTTGCAAGATCAGAGCCAACTTATTTGTGACTGAAAAATAACAAAAATCAGGGAGGCTCCATGCATAACTTTGGTTATAAAAAGAAAAAAATGAAAAAGAAAGGGATGCTGAAAAATAAAACAGTTTTTGCCAATCAAAAAAAATTAACACAAAAAGACTTGACGTTAACCAAAAACAATGTTCGTGCCAGAGTCTCAGAGCCTGGTCAAAAGGATATGAGCTGACACTTCTGAGCTAGAAGCAAGAAGGGGTAGAGAGAGTGACTAACAGAGACATGAAAAACCAGCCATGTGTAACAAGTGAAGAAGTAGTTAAGAGGTCATCTGCTAATAATATTTCTGCTCTGCTTAAGGCCAAGAAAAACACAGTAGATTGACACATAACTTTTTTTTTAATATTATTACTACCCTTATCATGAGCAGACTTCAAAACAACTACTTCCAAACTTTCTCCAAGCATATAACCAACACCTGCATTATAAACGAACATTTGTGACACCGAATATCAAAGGACTCATTCATCACTCTAAGAAAAAAAATTTCTGATTACAGCTTATACCCTGGAGTCAGTTCATTTTATCCCAAAGTTTCCAGTAAAGAAAATCTTACCAACCATCTAGAATCTCACCTAAATTAAGATTTTTTTTTTTTAAATTTTTTTCTTGGTCAAGTTGAGAACTTTTAATCAATTATTGACTTGAAGCCTTATTTGTGTGTGTGTGTGTATATATATATATATATATATATATATATATATATATACACACACACACACACACATGTAAATGTACACCTCTAATTCTGTACCTGAATGATAAATAAAACAGCAATTGCTTTTATTAGCAGCACCATGCTTCCCAGCCTACTTTAATCTCTAAAAAATTAAATGCAATGTCAATCGTGATCTACTGTCCTCTTGATTACTCTTTTCTCTTCCTGCTAATTAGTAATGTTTCTGTTCCTAATTCTTCCACACTCAATAATCCCTTGTGTCTTAGTGGCTTTACTTCCTTGCCTGGGGTGATACTGGTTAACAAAAAAAGAAAATACTTAAATCTGCTGCAGATTTTTAGTGATTCATTAGTTTCTTCTAACAAAACAGTGACATTAATTTCCTCTTCAAACTCCTATTTTTATAAATTTTCTGAGGTTTCATACTTTCTTTATAATTCTGTATTCAGCTTCATTTGAATCAAATTCCTCAACACAACAGATATTCATGTGCAAGTTAGAAAGCTTTTTTTTTTTGCTTTTTCAAGGTATTAACATTCAATGTCATTAACAACCAATCGCTTGAGTTCAAATTTCTGTACAGTCTTCAAAGACATCGACATTTTATTTCTATATCATTTTGATCTTTAGAGCTGTCACAAATGTTGCCTAAATTCAATGGAAGGATTTTGAAACAATATTCATTGATTTGAGACAAATCCGTAATTATCAGCTGATGTTTTCTTTTCCACTTTTATTATGATTCTTTTTACATTCCTATTTTAATCATTTATCAACCAATCATTTGTGTTTATTTAAAATTATCTTGAAACTTACTCTGCTAAAATTAGTTGCTTTGAAAAAAATCTCACCTACTTTACCAATAAAATTTGATAAGCTTTTCAATTAGCTCCCTTGATTATTCTTTCGTTTTTTGTTTTTTTTTTTGCTTTTGTTTTTAATCTGCTTTGCAGTGTTTTGTGCTTTTAACAGCAGAAAAAAAAAAAACTTGTGAATGAAAACTGATTAAATGTGTTATTTTATTGAAGAGTTTCTTTCTTTTCATTTTCATTTTCATCATCTCCCTAAGTGACACATAATCACTCTGATAAAATACGTGCTTAAAAGTACGAATTTTTTTTTTTTCTCTGGGTATACACTACACTACAGTCTGACATTGATCATTGAAATTGTTTTTATTTGCAGAAACTATCATGGCCGGGGTAAAAACTTCTTGTATATTCCTTTTCT